AGCTCTGTTTGAAAGGTGCTTTGTAATACCTCAAAACCAAATACCTAAAAGGTTTTTTGGGGAGAACTTTAATACCTCAATTGTGAAACCTTAAGGTAAACTTGGGAGGGAGTGATAAAGGGGCCTTGAAATCGGGTTGGAAGAAACTGTGGCCAAAAGTGTAACCCAAAAGGGGTTTTGAAGGGTTTTTAGGGGTAACCCGAAGGGTATGCCATTGAGGAATCCATTGTGGGTTGGGAAAGTCCTTGGGGTTGGAGGGTTTGTGGGGAGGGTGGGAAGAGTTTGGGGGAGGGGGACAATGAAAAACTAACCACTGATGAGTGAAACAACTTCAAGAGCAAGGGCCGACCCGGGGGAAACTGGTTCAGAGGGGGGGAAAGAAATTGAAGAAGTTTCCTACTCAAAGATAAAGGAAATCGTGCAAAGTGGCTTGAAGTGCAAACCTTTATGGATGAAAAAATCACCCCCACACAGCTATTGCAAGCCGGCTGGGACTATTACACTGACAATTTGTGAACACTTTAGGGAAGTGATAAAGGAAGAGGTACGGCCATATGGAAGATACTTTTGCGAAAGAAGTCCCCGTGACTTGAAGCTGGCCTAGTGGCATTAAAAAAGAAGGGAAGTAACCCCAGAAAAGGGGCTTTCTACCTCAATCCTAATGGAAAGGGGGTTCCCCTTCTAAACGTAAGAAGATAATCTCCCCCTCCTCCCCTCCCAACTCACCAGACTTTAAAAAAAGTAAGTTCATGTAATTGCATGCCTTTTTTAGTTTGTGTATTAAAATTAATATCATGTGGTAAAAAAAAATTTTTTTTTATACTTTTGGGGTTTTCAGGGTTAAAATTTTATTTCCCTATTTCTTAGGGAAAATTCATTTACTAACGATTATTTCGCATAACAATTACCCCTCTTGCACGGATTAAAATCGTTAACCGGGGGTCCACTGTACAGTGGAACCTCTACTTGCGAGTTTAATCCGTTCCATGGCCTTGCTCGCAACTGGATTTGCTCATTTGCAGAGTCAATTTTCCTCATTTAAATTAACTGAAATCCAATTAATCCGTTCCAGTGGAATTCTGTACTTCAATAATTTCGCTAATATCAACTCTACGGCTTATTTATCTATCTCACTTCATCTAATATGACATAATAAACAATATAAATAACATACAAACCTGATATATACTCTAAAATGAATAAAATATATCATTCATGTGGTGGTATGGGCGGTGTCGGCAGTGGATGAATTTGTCTGGAGACCGGGCAAAATACTTCATGAATAATTTAGCTAATATCACCTATATGGCTTATTTATCTATCTCACTTCATCTAATATGACATAACAAACAATATAAATAACATAGAAACATGATATATACTCTAGTATGAATAAAATATGTCATTCATGTAGTGGTATGAGTGGTGTCGGCAGTGGATGAGAGTTTGTCTGGAGACCGGGCAAAATACAGTGGACCCCCGCTTAACGATCACCTCCCAATGCGACCAATTATTTAAGTGTATTTATGTAAGTGCATTTGTACGTGTATGTTTGGGGGTCTGAAATGGACTAATCTACTTCACAATATTCCTTATGGGAACAAATTCGGTCAGTACTGGCACCTGAACATACTTCTGGAATGAAAAAATATCGTTAACCGGGGGTCCACTGTATTACTACAATGGGACTTCACTGTTTTCCTGCCAAAACCCAAACCACTAACTATTCCTAGTTTAAAGTCCTAACAGCTCTCTCCACTGCAGTTGCCAGTGCTCCCACCCCAGACCTAGATAAGTGAACCCCATCCCTGGCATACATGTCATTTCTGCCATAGAAGAGGTCCCAGTTGTCAATGAATGTTACCGCATTTTCCTTACAGTATTTGTCCAGCCAGAAATTGACACCAATTGCCCTGGACAACCATTCATTTTCAACTCCTCTCCTTGGCAAAATACCACATATGACAGGGTTCCCACCCTTCCCCCTGATTATTTCTATTGCTGACCTATACCTGCTAATCAGGTCTTCACTCCTACATCTGCCAACATCGTTGCCTCCAGCACTGAGACAGATAATAGGATTGCTCCCATTACCTCTCATGATGTCATCCAGACGGCTAACAATATCCTCCATCCCAGTCCCAGGAAAGCAAACCCTCTGTCTCCTACTCCTGTCCTTCAAGCAGAACGCCCTATCCATATACAGTGGACCCCAGCATACCGTTGGCATCACATAACGTTAAATCCGCATAGCGATACATTTTATCACTAAAATTTTGCCTCGCATAGCGCTAAAAAACTCGCTCAACACTATTCGTCCGAGACACGTCTATGTGAGGCCTGAGCCAGCCTCACATGTTCCGCCGGTGGCATTGTTTACAAGCTAGCCTCCGCAGTAACATCCAAGCATACAATCGGAACATTTCGTATTATTACAGCATTTTTGGTGATTTTATCTGCAAAATAAGTGACATTGGGCCCCAAGAAAGCTTCTAGGGCCAACCCTGTGGTAAAAAGGGTGAGAAATATTATCGAATACTGTGGTACCATGGTCAACTGCTGATGCTGCTGCTGCTGTAGCACTGTCAGCTGCTGCTGCTGCTGCTGCTGTAGCACTGTCAGCTGCTGCTGCTGCTGCTGCTGCTGTAGCACTGTTGTTGGTGTGGCTTATTGAGAATACCAAGAAACAACCCCAGAGGGTTAGCCACCCAGGATAACCCAAAAAAGTCAGTGTCATCGAAGACTAACTTATTTCCATTGGGGTCCTTAATCTTGTCTCCCAGGATGCAACCCACACCAGTCAACTAACACCCAGGTGAACAGGGAAAAATGCCTGGAACTAGTGCTCATATTGGTGAATTTTGGTAGTGGCATACACAGTGTGATAAGGCCTGTTCTGGAAGAAAATGCCAAACAGGACCTACAGTACTCAGGAGGAAAAGGCACTCCCAGGACACAGTGTCTCATCAGTCATCGCTGCATCTTCAATAAAGGTAAGTGTCATTTATTCTTCATTTTGTAGAGTAGTACATGCACAATATATATTGTGCATGTACTACTCTACTACTGTGCATGTATCCTTCTCTTTGTGTGTAGGAAAATGTATATTTCATGTGGTAAAAATTTTTTTTTCATACTTTTGGGTGTCTTGCATTGATTAATTTGATTTCCATTATTTCTTATGGGGAAAATTCATTCGCATAACGATAATTTCGCATAAACTAATGAGCTCTCAGGAAAGGGATTATATCGTTATGCGGTGAGGGAGTCCAATGTAGTACCTAACTTGGCATATCCCAAACAACAACAATATTCTTACCTTCATTGATGGTTCATTCGTGCGTTCCCAGTAGTCGACCTCACGTTCGTAACGGTAGCACTGAGCAATGCTATCTAGATGTTTTCCACAAACAGTTTCCACAGCAGTCTCTTTCTTCTTCATCGTTTCTACATTTCCATTGTCTTCTTTTCGTCAACTTCGTCCTTGCTGTACAGGCCACTGACCAGTTTCCCTTTTTTTACTGAGGAATCAAAAAGGATGTAACTACTAACGAATCTTTCTTTGTTTTCCTCGGTCAGTCGCCGAATCTCCATCTTCGCAATCCTAAATTCTTCCTTATGCTGTTGGTAAAGTTTGCTCGAGGAGGGCATTCCCTTGGTTAAATCCATAGAGAGCACACAAACAGGTCTTCACGAGTCTAAGTACACGATACCATATCTTAATCAAAAAACAGATCAATCATCTATCAGTGGAAGAATTGGGTATCATTCTAAAAACATGGATATCCTTATCTTCATTAAAAGATCAATTATTTCCCCCACTTTGTAACAAAAATCTAAGAAAAAATGTTATTGTAATTTGTATCTAGTCTCCCCTACTTAAGGAAGTCTTGATGCTGGTGTAAGTTTTTATAGAGGTATGGTACACACAAGTACAATTTTAATACATAGTGTAAATACTTAGGTTACAAAAAAAGTCAGGGACTTATTTCACTGGGGCTCTTCATCCAATGAAAATACATTGCTCTCCCTACCTTGGACTGAACTTAGTTGCTTCCTATTCCCCAGGTGATGTATGATCACTATGGGTTCAACATCTCTTAAATATAGCAATAATGCCATCCTGTCCATTATCCTCCTGCTAATAGGATGAACTGCCGGGAAAGCGCTAAATACGTAGGTATCATACAATGGCTTTAGAACTGGAAGTGATCAGGTTCGATCCAAGGAAGAAGGAAGCTTACAATGAAGTACCCGACGCCATAGCTGGCTCTATACACACACTTAATTAACCTCTGGAGAAGTGCGAGTGAAATGTTGTCAGCAAAGATGATCACATTATACTGTATTTGTCTCCTCTTCCCTCGTGTCATAATTTCATACCATTTGTCTGCACACTTCTTCCTGATCAGAGTTGACAGGTTAGTACCTACATTTATTTATTATTATAATCATTGGGGGATGCGCTAAACCCGGAGGATCTTACAGCGCCTGGCGGGGGGGGGGATGGGGAAAGGGCCAAATTTCTGGCTTAATTATTCGGGGAACTGCGAGAACAGATCCAATTCCCTAAATCAAGCTAAGAGACCCTCAACAAACTCAAGGAACCTTCCTTGAGGGGAGTTAGTACATACAGTATTACACAAAACTCACAATGGAGCCTGCACACTCAGGAACCACAGTATAACACTTACAAACACAAATTTGTATTTCTTTGCAAGATTACATTGAGATTATGTGATTACAATAATGAGTTGCAGTGCAAACAGCCACTATCATGTTTTGGCATTATGGGCAGACTAAATTTAATGTCTTACAGGCTACTTAATACTAGAGAAATTAATCATAGTTTATATAAGTTGTACATCTGTTATTTATAGTACAGTAAGTTTACTCAAATTACAAAAAATCCCCAAAAGTATGAGAACATCAGTACAGATGGTGAGAGCGGAGGTAGACTACCACATGTCACCAAGGCTAGTAAACTCTCAGTTTCTCACCATTATATTATACAGAGAAGATATTTTTCTTCTTCGTCTTCTTCTACGTGGGTTTGTAAGGGCCGCTGACAGCGAAGACGTGTCCTTCTTTGTTGGGTTTATGAGGGCCACTGACAGCATAAGTCGTATCGAGCCCGACTTCTCGATGGTACGAGGAAGATTTGTTCCCCAAGGCTGGACGATGAAAGAAAAGGAACAAAAGTTCCAGTGGCTAACGCGACAGTAAGTAAGCAAGTAAGTTTATTCAGGTATACACAAATACAGTTACATACATTATCATACATAGCAGCATATGTGTAAAGTATCTAGGATAACCAAAAAAAGTCAGAGTGACTTATTTCCATTGGGGTCCTTTTACCTTATTATAAAGGTGATAATATCTTATTATTATTCTATAATAAAGATAACATCTTATTATCATACTATTAAGACTATCTACTACACGAGTGTCATTAAGACTCTACAATACGAGGGTCATTACTAGGAATAAGGTGCAATTACACGTAAAATTACACGTCAGTGGTGACGTGTACTTGCTCTGTGAAGTTTTGTCCAGTGTGTTTCCGTGAAATCTGCCACAAGATGTCCTCTCTTGAGCTACTGTACCTGAGCTGAAAGAGGAGCTTACGGTTTGCTAAGATTGAGATACGGCGCACTGAGGGAGGAAAACAAGAGGATTCGAAAGTTAATCTCCTGTTGTGAGTCCCAGGTAAGAGAGAACTTGGTCAGTTGAGCCCAACATGAACAAAGCTTAAAATCAGAAGTCTGTCTGGATGGCTCGGGAAACAACCGAAGAATCCAGAAGATTGCAGTGGAGACTACAAACCATTTGTAGATAGTTTACACGGACGAATGTGGATTGTTTCTACTGGGAACGTCAACAAGAGCACCAAGGGGAGCATTGGCAGGCGTGAGGAGACATCCCTTGATACCCCAATGAAAGATCATCAAGAAAAGTCACGACAATTCAACAAATGAAGGTTAAGAACATAGTTTTAGTTGGAGACAGTCGGGTTACAGTTTATGGTATAGGGCCTTTTGTCTAAGGGGACAGCAAGAGGAAGAAAAGGGTTTGTTTTCCTGGGGCTGGGATCGGAGGATATTGTTAGCCGTCTGGACGACATCTGAAAGGAAATGGGGAGCAATCCTATTATCCTGGCCTCAGTGCGGGAGGCAACGATGTTGGCAGAGTAGTGTTGGACCCTGATTAGCAGGTATAGAGTCAGCAAATAGAGATAATTAGAAGATGAACGGGTAGGAACCCCCGTATATGTGGTATTTTGCAAGAGAGGGTTGGAAAAAACGAATGGTTGTCAGGGCAATTTGGTGTCAAATTGCTGGCTGGACAAATACGGTAAGGAAAATGCAGGGGAAACATTCATTGACAACTGGGACCTCTTTTATGGCAGAAATGACATGTATGCCAGGGATGGGGTTCACTTATCTGGGTCTGGGGTGGGGGCACTGGCAACGGCAGTGGAGGGAGCTGTTAGGTCTTTAAACTAGGAATGGATAGTGGTATGAGTTTTGGCGTGAATACAGTGAAGTCCCAGTGTAGTAATACTATGAGTTCTAGGGGAACTAGTAATAAGCAGAATGAGGTGGATATTGGAAAGCCAATGGCACTAGGCGACAAGGACAGTAATAGGTTTAGTGAAAAAAACAGATATGAGCAGGAAGAGTAAAGAGAAAGGAGGGTCTTTAAAATTATATTATGCTAATTGCCGTAGTGCTAGAAATAAGATGGATGAGTTGAGATTAGTTGCTAGTGCAGGTAACATTGATGTATTTGCAATCACTGAGACATGGTTTAATTCCAAAAGTCGGGACATGCCTTCGGAATGTCACATTCAGGGTTTTAAATTGTTCCAAGTAGATAGAAATACACATATAACCCGCACATGAAAGAGAGAAGCTTACGACCACGTTTCGGTCCGACTTGGACCATTGACAAAGTCAATTTGTCAATGGTCCAAGTCGGACCGAAACGTCGTCGTAAGCTTCTCTCTTTTATGTGCGGGTTATTTGTGTATCGTTCCAGTCACGGTATTGTGCCTTTTTTGTTATTTAGATAGAAATATCGGTAAGGGAGGTGGGGTGGCACTATGTCCGAGATCACTTGAACTGTTGCATAAAAATGGGTATTAAGTCTGAGGTAACACATACAGAGTCTGTCTGGATAAAATTTTCAGAGGGGCATAAGAAATTGATTCTAGGAGTGATATACCGTCCCCCAAACTTAGATAGGGACCAAGGGAAATTACTGTGGGAGGAAATTGTTAAAGCCACAAGGCACGATAATGTAATAATTCTAGGGGACTTTAACTTTAGTCACATTTGTAGATGAATGGTTCAGAGAACCGACATGTTGATAAATTAGACACATGTGCAACTCTGTGGTCAGTCCATCAATCTTGAATAGAATACGGCATACGTATGCCGTATTCTATTCAAGATTGATGGACTGACCACATCGACTCAAGGTTGAGGGACTGATTACCTCATTCTACTCCTGTTCTTCAAGAGTCTCCTTTGTATGGACTGATGAAGCCACTGTGTGGCGAAACGTTTCCTCAATAAAGATACCCAAGAGTTGCACATGTGTCTAATTTAGTCACATTGATTGGGAATTTTCTGATTTGGGAAATTTTAAATCAAATGACTTCTTAGAAGTAGTTCAGGAATGTTTTTTGAAGCAGTTTGTGACAGAAGCTACAAGGGGAAATGACCTACTTGATTTGGTTTTGGCGAACAAGGAAACTCTTGTTAATAATTTAGAAATTAATGAGGAACTTGGCACAACGATCACAAATCAATTCCTTAAGAAAGAAGGGAATAAAAAGTAGGGACAACTCAGAAAAGTTCCGATTTTCGCTTAGCAGATTACAAGGCTTCGAGAACACTTATCTTGTTTTACTGGGGTAACGAAAGAGCACATATACAGTTTTCTGAACCTATACATCTGCCAAAGAACTTTACCCCTAAAAAGAAATTAGATCAAAAGAAAAGACCCAAAATTAGAAAAAATAGGGTGAAATATCTACTAGGGGCATAGGAAAGGAATATAAAGGCGACAAAAGAGGGGAGGTCATTTAGAAAAAGTAATTGACATTTAAAGGGGGCATTAAAAAAAGGGGGAAAAAAAGCTAAAAGGGACTATGAAAAAAAAGTTGCTGGGGTTCTAAAACTGCCCCCAAAAAATTTTTTCCAGGCTATAGAACAAAAAATTGAAAAGACGTCCCCTTAAAAAAAAACTATGGGCATCTTTCTGACAAAGAAAAAAATGTGTCGATTTAAAAAAAATTTTTTTTCCCCAGTTTTAAACAGGAAGACACCCAAAAATATTTTCCCGTAAAAATTTTTATAGGGGCCTAAGAAGATAAAAATTTTGTAACTCACAGTCACTATGAAATGTTGTGAACAGATAACAGACTGAAGCAAAAAAAGTCGCCGGGCCCTATGAGGGTTTTTTCCCAAAGGTTCTTAAGGGAAGCAAATGGAACCGTAACCCTTTAAAAATATTTTTTAATTATCTTTCGAAAGGGGTTTTGTCTGATATTGGAAAAAAGACTATGAATTCCATTTTTAAAACGGGACAAGTCGTTACCCCTCAAATTACCGCCCAAAAAAAAAAAAAAAAGCCTGCCTCAATTGAGGGAAATTACTAGAGTCAATTTTTAGCTCAGATTAAAAGAAACCATTCGATAACATAGCTTGATTAATAAAACTCACATGGATTCACAAAAGGCCGGTCTTTTCTAAATAATTTATAACTTTTTTCATAAAACTTTTGAGCCCGTTGACCAGATAAAGAATTTGATATTATTTTCTTAGAATTTTTAAGACTTTTGATAGAGTTCCGCACCAAAGACGTTTAAAAAAATGGGAGCTCATGGATTGGGGAAAAAATGCCCGTTTTATCGATCATGGCTCACATCAGGAACATGTCCATAAAAGGGGTTAAATCCAGTGGGGATCTTAAAAAGGGGGTTCCCCTATGGGTATGAGGTATCTTTATTTGAAAGATCTTTCCCAAAATGGTGGCTTTTAAAACCCAATAAAAAAATTAATGTGGCCGGGTTTGGTTTAAAGCTCTTGCTTAAACAAGGAAAGGGCCGGGGTTTTAAATTTCCCCAGCCCCCGTAAAAAATCATTGGGCATGTTTCTTTCCATCTGTTGTCTATTTTCCCCTCTTCAGAAAAAAGGGGGAAACCGGGGTTGTTAGGGGACGGGTTGTGGGTCGAAACCCTGGGCCATTGACCTAATTTGCCAGAATGTTCAGCAAAAAAAGGGGCTTTTTTTATTTTAGTAATGTCACGGGATGTCAGCAAGGCCTGTTACCATGTACATGTTCTTGTGAAAATTTAAAGATATTTTTAAAATTTATTTAAAAAAGATGGGGTTTAATCAGCCCCTAAAGCCTTGGAGTTGGTGAGGGGTGGGATTTTGCCAGGTGTTAATTCCTTATCCTGGGGTTTCTGTATATCATTATGAAACTTTTCTTCTGGGTATGTTCCATAAAGAACAAAGGAAAAAAAACCAAATGACTGGAAACAATCACAAGGAAATTTTGTGTAAAAGGGGATGATTCAAAAAGGGACAGAAAAACTGTAAAAAGCTTGAAGTAAGGTAGACAGTTTTAAAAAAAGGACCAGTAAACGGGATGACTGCGATCTCTAAATGAAAAATTTGAGCATTTTTGGGTGTTGGAAAGCCTCATTTCTTTTGTGTTTCCTTGAGTCTCTCGGGCCCAGAGAGGGGGCTTTGAATTGGGAGTAGGAAAACCGGGGGAATTCAAATAAGGGGGAGGGAGGTATGAACTGCTGAACCCATCCTTTATACACAAATTTCCTTGTTTAAAAATTGCCCTGGCTTTGGTTATGTAAAATCCTTTCCCTTTTTCTCATTAAATTACCAAATACCCCCAAAATTCAGAAATCTTGACCCTTTTTCCCTCCTCCTCCTCCCCCTTTCCCCCCTCTCTCTATCTTTTCCCCTTTCCTTTTTTTCCTTTTTTTTCTTTTTTTTCCCTTTTTTTTGGGCCTTTTCCCATTTTTTCCCCCCTGTTTTTGGTCTCCCCTTTTGGGGACCTTAGCCTCCTGCAGAGCTCCTTTTTTTGTTTGGGGTTCTTTG